AAAAAAAAAAAAAAAAAAAAAAAAAAAAAAAAAAAAAAAAAAAAAAAAAAAAAAAAAAAAAAAAAAAAAAAAAAAAAAAAAAAAAAAAAAAAAAAAATCATAGTTAGGTTCTGTGCTGCAATAAAAATTAATTTTTTTCCTATCATTTAAAGTTCTTAATTTAAAAACATGAAATTAATAAAATTCGAGAACATTAGCTGGTTTCTAATAAATATCGCAGTGAAAATCGTGCTTTTTTTGCAATATAATAGAACGACATTGGACACGGTTAAAAAAATAAATCGTTTTTTAAAAGATAGAAAATTAAGCCATTTTTGAAAAAATCACGAATAAAAAAAGGAAATGTTAATCATAAACAAGCACCTTTAAGAATGTTTAATAGCAGCTTAAAAATAAAAGTTTTTTTCGTAAAAATGTGACGATTGAGTCTTTAAAAAAAATACTAGCATTAGTTTTTTTTTTACAAAGAATTTATATAATAAAATCGTATTTTTTTATAAATTGAATAAATTGTTTATGAATTAAATGGTATCACACGATAATGCATATTTTAGGAACTTCAGTTTAAAAAAGTATATCAGCACACGTAAAAAGCTGGATAATAAAATAAAAATAATAATTATAAAATAATAATAAAATAAATAAAAAAGGTTTAAAATATATTAATAAATTTCGGGTGTGCATTCTAATATGAAAATTAAGATCCAATTCAATAATCACTTAGTTTATTCAGGGTGTGTAGCCAAATTTTTCATCAAAAAATAAGCACCTTCTAGGAACTTTGTAAGCACTCAAAAAATATTTTTAAGCACTATATACATTAACAAAATGCAAAATAACGTTTAAAGACTTTACATGATCATGACAAAATAACTAGTTTTCGACAAAGAACACTAATCTTGGTTATATTATTAACCATTAAAAAATGATCGAGAGATTTTTCGGTTTGATCTCAGAGGGTGGAAGATGAAGCTTGTAATTGAGAATATTTAGCAAAATGAGAGTGCTAGAATCTCACCGAACACAGCTCACTATACTCACATGCGGACTAGCAAGTATTACATCAAACATGTAAAACAAGGTTGCCACAGAAAAAAAATTAACCAAATAGTTGCTTTTAGTAGCCTAAAGCATGAAAATAGTTGCCAAAAACTATGAAAATAGTTGCCTAAATAAGAAAAAAAATTCAGCAAAAATAAGACTAAAATTTTATTAAATGACTTAATTGTCGTATACCATGATCCATTTAGTCAAGTTGGTGGCAAATATGAAAATTTTTATATAAACTATTAGTGTAAATATTATAACATCGCGTAAATATTATGTATGGTGAGTTTTTGTGAAAAGTGATTACTCAAATTAGAAATTCATGCTTAGTAATATCGTATTGCAAATTGGGTTTCTTAAAACTATGCAGAATTTCGTAACAATAACCGTTGAAAAGGCGATCGAGAAACGAAATAAACTTACGATACAGTCTATGCAAATTGAACGCATTAAGAAGTAATGATTCAAATTTGCAATCTAATTTTTTTTTATTTTTTAATGTTTTAATTATTTATTTAATTTTTTAATATCTTATTATTTTTATTTCACATTTTTTATTTTTTAAGAAAAGAAATTCAGTGTGTTCCGAAGATTTCGTAGACTGCAGGTTTTCAACAAAATTTATGCTAAAAAAAACATTTCTAGGAGTACAAAAAAGTCTCCTAATAGTCTCCTTTTCCAGAAAATAGTTGCTTTTTCATCCTTTTCAGGCAAAAAAAGTTGCCATAGTCGCCTCATGATGAAAATAGTTGCATTTTAGTCGCCCTAGTAAAATGATTGCAGATTTTATAGGCTATGGAACGACGATAGGCCGAAATGGATTGTGGTTGAATGAATTGTGAAAGCGTTGAATGGAACAATGTGAAAAGCACACTTTTGCAAAATACGCGGCGAAAATGGACACGGTAAAGAAAAAAAAAATCTCATTTTCGAGAAGGGAAAATGAAGCACTTTTTAGAAACACCCAACGAAAAAAGCACCTTTAAGGAAGGGCTCTTGAAAAATCGAAAATAGGCACCTTTAAGCACTTTTTAAAAACTCTACGCACCATGTTTAAGGACATGCTNTTTAAAAACTCTACGCACCATGTTATTTGATGAAAAAAGCTCTTGGTAGAATGTTTAAAAGCTCTTACATATTTTGCAAATCACCCGCAACAATTCTTGAAGGTTGCATCAAAACATTTTGTGCGTTTATGTCGGTTTCAGAGCGATTTATGACGGTTCAACATCATCCAATATGTATTATTGAATTATGATATGCCAGCAAACTTCCAACGTTCCATGACGGAAAATGCTACTTTAATACTATGTTGGTTAACCATCAAGAAAGGTTCGATTTTCATGGACCAACAATCCACGATGATTCCAACTGTACATTTCCAGGATGGTTTAATGGAAATTTTTGTTGGTTCTCGGGCATAAACCATTAAAACTGTATTTTTTTTATGTTGGGCCATCATAAATCAGTCCGAATTTCTACATTGGGATGATGGTTAATGCCATCAAAATTATAATTTTTGATAATGGAATTATTGATGGTTTGCATCAAGATTATGTTGGTCCATCAATGGATAACAAAACATTTTGACTTGGTACAGTCCATGGCCACGTTATCAAACGCACTCTACGATTCTAGGCAAAATCTTAATTATCACGTGATATTATACAGTTTTGTTCTTTTTACGCGACTGAAATCGGCTTGCACTTGTTTACGTTCGCGTATCCTATTGGTTAAATTAGACGATATATAATATAAATTCGACCATTGGATAAATTAGACGATATATAATATAAATTCGACCATTGGATAAATTAGACGATAATAATATAAATTCGACCATTGGATAAATTAGACAATATATTATATAAATTTAGAATACTTATTATATCACGTATTATATTAGTATATTCAGGGTGGCCACTCAAATCAGGTTATAAATTTCCCTGATTTTTCCAGTAAAAATCTTAATAATTTCCAGGTCAGCGTGTTTTTTTTTCTTTTTTTAAAGTGTAGGTGGGTACAAGAAAAGTTTCAATATTGTAAGGTATTTTGCTTAAAAAGTTTTTTTTAATATATCATCTTTAATAGATATGGAGGAAACTATATGTTTAGTTTGCAGAAAATAATGCTTTTAATGAAAAAAAATTTTTTTTAAAGAGTTAAGTAGTTTTTGCACAAAATGTACCAAATAGCAAATACATACAAGTGACAAAAAGAGCCTTGAAAAAATACTGTTCAATATATTTTCATTAAGCAAAAGAAAAAAATTCGAGGCGATTATACATCTAAAATTTTTTAT